CTTGAAAGCTCTAACCTAATCCAAAAAAAAGTCCAGTTGTAAAGAGCACACAGGTTTGTTTTGATCAGTTGGCAAAGAAACCAAATCTTGTTTACAAGGAACAAGCGGACACAGAACTGCTTTTGAGGATGAAATAATGACTGGTTTTGCCAAAGCTTGCCAGGTTATTGAATCACATCTTTGAAAGATACTTTTGAGAACAAGTTAAAAAGCAGAACTGTATTTTCTTCTATTTTAGTCAAAAGTGTAGATACACAAGACTAAACATAGGACTGACACGGTTCAAAAGCGTGAAAGGAGAGCTTTTGAAAAGTCTTAGAGATTCAATCCTTCAGAGGTCAAAGCTTTCCAAGATTTGTTAAAATCCCCAAACTTCACACAGCTTCAGGCTGTGCTTGTACTCTGGGACTTCACAGTCTCCTTCCTGTTCCACCATTATATTTCTATTCATCCACTGTTTTAAAAACTCTACTGCCTAAATATGACTACACTTAACAGGGTTCAGCTTTAAAATCGAACAAGAAAGGGGTGCTCGTTCTTCTGTTTCTATTCTCACCCTTTTTTATACTCAATTTTCCATCAAATGCAATCATTTGACTCTTGCTAAAGCTAGAGCCAATCTATTTAGAGGACGCTTCAGGCAGTACTGGCTTTGGCCGCATGTGCTTGGTGTACTGATAGCCGTCCCTATCCCTCCTCTTCCCTCCCGCTTTTAATCCTTTTATCCAACTGAATTAACATAGTCACTTCGAAACTATTCCCACTACTACAACTTTCCAGCTACAGCTAATAAACTTCAAAACTGCTAGCCTGTAATTCTATGCAAGTTAAAGCAAAATGTCAACTTTGTGATGTCCTGAGCTAAACATAATCTCTCTCTCTGTGTTTGTTATCAGCACTCTAACAATTTCTTTTTCTGACAGAGCTTTAAAAATACACAGTGTTTATACTTGTGCTGCACAACCAGGAATTACAGTAACACTCATGGCATTAAACTGAATTGACCTGGACTGACAGAGAGAGCAAGGAGAAAAGAGACAAAACCAGAAGGTCTGAAACTTGCTAAATCCTACTGTACATCTGAAACCATACACAGCCTTCCTTCACACAATCTGTTGTGGAGTGTCATCTGGCAGACATCACTGGTGTATTCAGTAACCGACACTACTTTCTGGTGTATTTATGGTTTCTCTACAGCACTCTAGTAGTGTTACTCTCTAGCACTCTGTAACTTTATTGCAATACAATATTATATATATTAACAGTTACTATATTATTACTGCACTGTACAAAGCTCTACACACTGAACCTCAGCTTATGCATTTCAATGCCAGTAAACCTTATGTAAGCTGTGCAAATGACAAATAAATACAACTTGAATGGAAACTTCAGAGAGATGGTCAGATTTTAATTTACAATCTATAGCTATGGAAAGAAGTTAATTATTAATTATGTGCTGCTAAATATTGCACACACTATGATCTGACTTTTCTGAAGCTGAGCTCCCACCAGGCATTATATCAGACATATCATTCCAGCAGCAGCTCCGACTGCTAACCATGTTTATAAATAAAACTGCACATTGAAACAGCCCAATGGACTAAAAATACAACTGTCAGCTGGGTTAAATCTGTCTCTCTGCTTATTTCTGCGATTTATATCTGGGACCTCAAAATAGTTAAGCTTCATCGAGACATGCTTATTCATCTGTTTGGCGTGCTGTTAAAGCGACACATGAAGAGTAAGAGTAATAAGAGCAGAGAGCTAAAGTGGTTTGATAGGTAATGGAGGCTGGCTGAGGAGAGAATATGGTAAGAGAGATGCAATGTAGTATTTTGTGGCATACATTCTCTCTCTGAAGCTAACTGCCATGAGAGCAATACTACACACACATCAACTTAAAGAGATTCAGCTGGTGGATGTGGCCTCTCCTGTCCCCTGTAATTACCATTAGCACAAAAAGACAAAATGCGGCCCCCAATTTTCTCTCTTCACCTCTCAGGCTTCTCACTAAAGGCCACAGAATGACAAATAATACAAAACCAACTGTGCTATGTTTACATACTCCTTAAATTTAAGTGATACCTCTATATATATATATATATATATATATATATATAAAAAAAAATCATTATGCGAACACCTCAGTCGAAAACAAATAATATGACTGAGCACGAATCCAAAAGAATAAGCCTAAATAATCAGTTAAATGAATGAATAATTGACATGTAAATCAGACAACTTGTACAGTTGGATTCAAAAATTGATATTTGCACAGCAGCAATAAACATGGTTGGGGCTGTGAAGCACTGGTGCAACAGTGTTGGTTTTAGTATTATATATAAAGTAATGTAGTATTTATTCATATTTTGAATTAACTTTTTTTATATTTTCAGTTTTCATTTGAATTGTTTTAGTAATTCTGTGCTTTTGTCATTTTCATTAGTTTTTTATACCTTTTTTAATATTTCTATGTAGCTTTTAGTTGTTTTAGCCATTCAGTACTTTAAGTCAGCATTTCTAATTTTAAATGGATGAAATTCAAGTTTTTTATGTAATATTTTGGTTTTAATTTATTTCAGCTATATTTCATTTCAATAAAAAACAGTTTTAGTTTTAGCTAACAATAACGACACTGTGGTGGAGACTTTGTCTTTTTAACATTTTGAAAAATAAAAAGATTGTTAGGAGACAAAGAGGTAGGAAGTACAGAAGAGGAAGTTCGGACCAACAACTCAAAAAGAAAAAAAGTCTTTGAGGAAAAAAGTTTGTGGCCAAATTCTCTGACAGGAGCACTGATAGCTTCTTGTTGCTATGGTAACACTAAATGCTACTCTTTTGCATGCACAGAAAACATGTGCTGCAGATATTGTCATGTTGACAAATATTGTCATCAGACTGCAAAGTTTAAGGCATACAGTATAAACATTGCAACTGGAACGTGCACTCAGATTTAATTGATTTAGATTAGTGAGCCTGTCTAAAGGATAAGAAGAAAGTTTTGTTGAAACAGAACATTTCAGCAGTCAGGAGCTGCCAATGTGTTGTAGCAAAGAGATGGAAAACTAACCAAGGATTTGTCTTTTCATCCCAAGGACAAACCTCACCTGAGCTCAGTAACGGTATTCTGACTCACAGAGAGTGTCTTACCATCAGTGACCTGTGACCCTTGAGAAGTGCTGGGCTGCGGAAGTTCGTCTGGAAGCTCACGGTCTGTTTGTGTCTCTGCATTCTGTAGCCACAGAGTCTGTGTCTGCGTCCCCTGTGATGTAACAGTGGGGGCAAGATGTCGTGGCTGCAGACCAATTGCATTCATCAGACCCATCTCTCTGCGGGGCCTCCAATTAGTCCTGCTGTTACTAGAAAAACAAGACACATCCCACAGCAGGATGAGTGATGACTACACCAAACCTTACAACATCACCACACAGCCTTCAGGCGATTCCGGTCTGATCTGATATGACACGGATTTAATTCTGCACAGGGCTGGAAGACCTATAGACGGAATACGAAATGTGTCTATATAACGGCTTGCTTGGCAAAGCTAAACCTTTTCTGACAAAAGGTTTTTTTCTTTCATAGAAGTTTGTTAAGTGAGGATGTACAATACCATGCATTTGATCTAAAACGACTTCAGAATAATACAAGCAGAAGTGATTCATCCACAGGAGAAAACATCACATTGCTAACAAACCATACATCACCCCTAATTATTACAAACACAGCTAAAGGGATAGTTCACCCCAAAATGTTTAATTCTGTCATCATTTACCCATCCTCATGTCATTCCAAAACTGTATCTTTTTTTTTTTACTGTGGAACATAAAGAAGATACAACTGTATACAACTGTTTTTGCCCATACAATGAAAGTTGGTGGGGTCTAAAACAACAATGAATTGACTGACTGTATGGACAAAAAAAACAAACAAAAAAAACACTTTTTTTAAAAAACGATATTTTTGAAAGTCATACAGCTTTGACATGAGGGTGAGTAAATGACAGCATTGAATTAAAATTTTTGGGTGAACTATCGGAGTCATGTGGCATAAAGAACCGAACTGAGACTATCCTTTTAATATCAATTTAATTCCTGTCATTCAAATTTGAATGTAATAACAATCAAAATGAATTGAAATTCAAAGAATTTCATGTAATTTTTAACTACAAAAGCAAAGTCTCCCAGGAAAAATCTTGTTTTACAAGATTTAAAAGTTTGAAAAACGTTTAAGTTTGAAGGACTACAGAAAACAGACAGACAGACAGAGAGAGAATGAATGAACATTAGAATCAGTTATGCCTAATCATGTGATGCCAGCAGTCTTATGTTGTTGTGGCCTTCCTCTCGGCCACCTGTTCCAGCCACCAGCCTGGATCTGAGCTGCCAATATAATGGTCAGGATGGTGATACTTTGAGGGGAGATGGATACTCCATCTCAATCTTGGGTGAAGCACTGTTGCTGTAGAGTGGACTAAGATGTCTCATTAAGCCCTTTGTGGACAAGTGTGGCACCAGTGTGTCAGTGAATGAAGACCAACAAGATGGGAACCGCAGTAACACACCTCACCTGCTGTTGCCCGGACCTTGGACAGAGTGATCAGAGAGCTGGTCGGCAATAATTTGATGGTAGGTGGATTCTCAGTCACAGAATAGATTAAAAGGTACTAACGAATCAGCACTTCTTTATTAGTGCTTAGAAATATGCTCAATATGCCAAACCAAATAACAAAAATTACATTTATTTATTTTATTTTTTAATAAAAATGACATATATATTATTATTTATATTATTATATTTTATATTAAATAAGTGAAAACATTTAGAATAAAAAACATAAACAAGAATGCTGAATTTAAATGTGTTAAAAACAACAACAACAACAAACACATGTCCTGGTGCTCTAAATAAAAGTATGTCCATACTCACCGTGCTCTGTCTCCACCCCTGCTGCTACTGGTTCCAACCCCTCCACCATTATTGATGGTGAACATTCTCTCAGAGTGTTCAGAAGTGCCGTTGCCATCTGAGTGTATGTCACTGGATGGGATATTTCCATGGTCACATACATAGGCAGACAAAGAAAGAGAAAGTAATGTAATGTAATGTAAAGTGAAAGTGCTTGCAATCCAGGTAGTCAAGTCAAGTCAAGTCTGCTTTATTGTCAATTCTTCCACATGTACAGCACATACACACAGAGAATTGAAATTGCGTTACTCTCAGACCCTTGGTGCATACAGATAACACTAACAGTAGAACATAAATACAGATATACAGATTAAATATAAAATACAACTATACAAATATACAAATAAGGTAAAATGTAAAAAAATATATAAAAAAAAAAATATATATATAAAGCAGAAGTCGTTGAGGTAAAGCTCAACGACAATGTCACATATACTGTGCAAGAAGAAGAAAGGTTGACCTTCATTTCAATTCTGCAGAAGCAGAAGCTAAAAGTTTTAAACAGTTTTTAATTCTAAGGTGACATCCACTAGTGTTAATTAATTGTACATGGATAAATAAATACATAGATAAATAAAGCAAGTACTCACTGAAGAAAAAATGGGAAAATGTGTTTTCCTGGTTTAAATAATAAAAAAAAAAATAAATCAGACAAATCCCATGAATCATGGTACAGAGGATTTGTTTCTTCTTTCAGAAAAAAAAACCCATTAGATTTTCAAAAAATGATTCTGCTCTGACTTTGGGAAACCCTTGTTTCTTTGTCAGGTTTAAATACAGAGAAAAACGTCTGCAAACAGAGCATGAGAAAAAAGAGCTGAGCTTAAACAACAGCAGACAGAAAGAGAAGCCTTTCTCTTTCTCGACTGTGTTAGAGCTGTAGTCCGTTGACTGCTCATTTGCCTAGCTCAAAGAAACTCGCTATAGTCCCCACAGATTCCCACAATGCATCTATGTGGCTCATTAGCATAGCACTGACAGTCCCGTAGTTGCCGAGGCTGACATCCACTTCATCCAACCATCTTGCGCACCTGTCTCCAACCAAGAGATGTTACCTCCCAATGGGCCTGTCCAGCTCTCCTTCTTGCCCCCTTTTCCCTTCTAATATTCTCTCTGTCTGTCTCTTTCTCTTTTCTCTAAGGAAGTCTAAAGGAAAGCAAAACATCTCTCTGAAGAAAGTTGTGAGAGGTGATGAATACTTGCATATTATATAGCTAAGGTAATTAATTTCTGACAAAAATACATAAATAAACAACGCAGAATAACCACTGCTTCAAGCTGATGGTGCTTTTTAATGGACAGGAGACAAACTATGAAGTATTCTTCTTGTATACTTGAATGTAATCAATATTTGTGCACTTTAAAATTGATATTTTTCCAACACATCATAATGAGCGGGTGTTCCCCACCATGAGACTAGGCTGATATCTGCAACCACTGGAGGCTAATTACCAGTTTCAGTCGGATCGATCCATCTCCCGCCAATGTCCATCAAAAGCTGTAGAGTAACAGCCTTATGGGTACTGACAGAGAGAAAGCAGTGTGTGGTCCTGGCTGCTTTCAGAGAAAGGTGAAGATGATATTCTTATCCTCAGGTAAATAAATGTACAGGGGATGGGACAAATCTGACCGTATATTAACATCAAGAAATCAAATGAACAGCCTAATAAACAGTAGAGCTAAACTTAGTCTTCAAAAGTGTCAGTCTCTCATAGAAGCTAAAAGTCTCTGAACTGTGTGCATTGAGATTTCATGAAGTATGTAACTGATCCTGTTAAGCAGTCAGTGTTGTAGAAACCTGCAGCACATTCGAGTCCAAGTCAAGACTGAGACCAGAAGGGGGTGGTGTTCACATGCACCCAAGTCCATTATAAGACCAAGACCATGAAAACAGTCTTTGACCCTGCCTCAAGTCCAAGTCAAAGGCCATATTTTCAAGGTCTTTGTCTTGTCATGGACCTGGGAGCATGACTGAGACTCCAATGAGATGATCATGACTACAACACTGTAAGCTGTCTTAAATTTCAAACATAGTGTTTACTTCAGATGTGAGTGTCTAATAAAACAAAATATAAACTAAATAGCTTGCATTACAATCAATGGAGATGTCTACACTGGAAGCCCCAACACTATTTCTGAGTCGTTGCAAACTCAGTTCATTTTGCCCGTCCATCTGAAAGAAAATAATATACAAATGTCATATGTGTGTATTATATGAAAGATAAATAACATCTGACAGTTCTGATGTGTCTGGCCTCTGACCATCTAAGAACCAAAGATGATAATATATCATTTGCATTTGTTAACGGCTGTAGCCTTGGGCACTTTACAACTTCAGCTAAAGGTTGTGGATGATATTAACCAAACAAAACGCACCTTTGAAAAATTGAAAAAGTATGTTTTCCAGGCACCTCTGACATACTATATTCAGCATGCTTGTAAAATATGCTCAAGAAGGCCCAAAACTACCTGAGGATCAGTGAGGGGAGCTCTGGAAAGGAATGTCAGAATGAGGACTATGACACTTTTCTATTAGTTACAGTCCTTCAGGAAAGAGATGGGTAACCTGGGCATAAAAAAACAACAGCATGTACACTACGTGAATTTGAAGGATGACATGAAAGGTGCATTCACGCCATGTCGGAATTACTGTAATTATGTAGCTAGTTGAATAACTATATCTAATATCCCGTTAAAATTGTAATTTTATTAATAATGCATTTGCATAAACACTGTTACTTCTTGTATTGCGGTTTTTACTGATTACTCATATTACAACAAATTAATTTCTATGTAATTGTGTTGTCATAGAAACACATTATTCTGAGTCTTATTAAGAGGACATGACCAAACCCTGAGTAGAACGTCACAGGTTATCTAGTAATTATGGTAACAATTATGCCATGGCGTGCCTGCAGCAAAAAGCCTTTGTTGTAAAAGATATATATTGTGAAAACGGAAATAACGAGAAATCAAATTTTTCTATACAAATTTATTCTATACAAATTATTCATCTAATTTTCTGATGTATTCAAACACCCGTGTGTGCAGGATGCCTGTCACGATCATGAATTTTGTGCTGACGACTGTCAACAAATAACTGTGATTAGCTATTTAATAGTCTGTTTTTCCTCATGTCACGTAAAGTGTAAGCCTATTATATTTTTTTATTACATTTTTATATTTTACTACTGTTAAACACAAACAGGCCCATATGATCCTCCTTGCTTCTACATCTCTTCTTGTGCGAGTTTCACAACACACTTGCGTCACAATATGCTGGCCTTTACATCAGCCATGAACTTATGAACCCACGTTTGACAGTTGACTGAAAAATTAGTTAGTTAATTAGTATTTTTTTCACACCCACCTATCATTTTGCGTCAGAAGACATTTAGATTCATCAACTGGGGTCATATGGATTTCTATCATATTCACTGAAGGACCCATACACTTATTATTTTTCTTAAAATCTCAATTTGTGTTCCACAAAAGAAAGCAAATCATAGACATCTTGGACGGCATAAGGGTGAGTAAGTGATGAGATCATGAGAGAATTAAAATTTCTGGATGGAGTATCCCTCTAAATTTAATTCCTGTACCTCAAACAGTTCTCAGCTGTTTCAATGCCAAGGTCTGAATCCCAGGGAATGCATGAACTGATAAATGTATAACTTGAATACAATATAAATTGGTTTGGATTAAAGGAGACATATTATGCCCCTTTTTACAATATGTAATATAAGTCTCTGGTGTCCGCAGAATGTGTCTGTGAAGTTTCAGCTCAAAATACTCCAAAGATCATTTATTATATCATTTTGAAAATGCCTATTTTGAGTGGAAGCAGAAACGCGCTGTTTTTCAGGCCTGTCTCTTTAAATGCAAATGAGCTGCTGTTCCCCGCCCCCTTTTCCAGAATAGAGCTGTACTGGGTTAATCTTTTTCACATTTCCTTGGTTGGTAGATGCACCGGGAACCTGATTATAGCACTTAAAACCGGGAAAAGTCAGATTTTCATGATATGTCACCTTTAAAGTCATTTGCACTTATATATTGTTGCTCTTTTGTTAGTTTTGACTGCTTTTATTGTCCTCATTTGTAAGTCGCTTTGGATAAAAGCGTCTGCTAAATGACTAAATGTAAATGTAAATGTAAAGTGTCTACGTGGTGCTGAAATCTGACTCCCCTGCTTTTTGCGCTTACATTTCCCTTATTTAAAGGACAACATGTGATTGAAATTAAAACTTGACCATGGTGATCTGAAACAATTGTGATTAGATCAAATAATCAAACTTCCTTAATTAATAATCATGACATGCCTATATGGGAGTGTGTATAGGTTTGTATAAGTGCACAACTGAAGCCAAGCCATTGGCTTTTTTGTGTCCAAGGCACACAACATTATATTCACTGAGTACATAAACTACAAATAAGGCTGTGAGTTTGTGTATGATGCATTTTCTGTTTTCTCTAATTATCAAGCTGTTTGCATTAATGAAGTGAGAGCCTGTTTACATTGTAGAGACAATGTTTTTGCTGCAACGTGGGCTTTTTGTATCCACGGTAACCTTGATGATAATTATGACAAACTTGCAGAAAAGCTACATCCACAGCCAAGCTACAAATTATACAAGCAAATGCAGTGGAGGGAAATTATCCTTGAAGTGAATTAATTAGTGTCTGTTTTGCTAACAAACACCAATCCGTTGCAGGAAAACTTCTTTTAAAACTGCTAAAGAACTGACAAAACCAAAAACGTTTTTGAGATGTATGACATTCATTTACATAAACATAATACAGAAAAGTTCTCACCCAGAAAACAAAAACAGATGGGCAAAGCAGAGGAAAGACAGACTGAGTTCAACACTTAAAATGCTTTTATATGCACACCATTTATAACGCAAGATGTTTTACCATGGTTAACATTACAGATCATTTCTCATTTAATGTTGACCCACACCCAGATGAGTAAAGGGCTCATTATGTTTAGCAAGCAATTATCTTGAGGAGTCCAGCTGAGTTTCTTAAACCTTTCTTTAAAAAAAGAAATTCTTACAACAGAACTTTTATTCTTTAATGCAACAAAATGGGAAAGAAAAAGTGATTTAGGACCCACAAAGAGGGCTGAGTGAGCTATGAAGGGATGGATTGGAGACTCACACAGGTCGGCAGATGACCAGATCTCCTCTGTTGGTTCCATAAGCAAGCCCGAGCCCCGGTTCTGGCAGCCAGCGTGCAGAATTTATACTGACGTGTCTCCGCTGGTCTGGGACCATTGGATACACCACATCAAACACCCTCTGAAAAATATACAAGAACACACCTGTTTAAACTGTCCCACAGTCCTCTCAGTAGTTTCACTCATTCTATCAGTCGCCAGCATCTCCCATCATCCTCTACGCTGTAGACTGCCATCTCTGTCAGACATGACAACACTGCTAGC